TTTGTAGAGCCGCTTTCCATTTGGTAGAAAGTTTTTTTTAATTTCATTCATTTCAAAGAAACGACAAGAATAAGTCGAATGAGGCTAACATTCTTTAAATGAATATTAATGCAAAAAGATTTAACTTGTCAAACAAATAATTGATATTAAAAGTTCACCTGAACTATTCTGGCCATCATGGCGTGGGATTCAGATGAAGAGAACGTTACAAAAGTTGAGAAAAAGCTTGTGATATTTTTAAGGCAGGATCATAATGCCTCGCTTTGTAAAACTTCGCGGACCTCTGGTATTAAAACTTATTAATATGACTTCAATAGGCTATTTCTGAAGTCAATTCAACACCATAAACGGAGTTCTACAAATATCGGAACAGATTGGAAACAAATGGAATAAGATCTGAGTTTTATTGTAGATGCATCAAAACTTTATAACCAAGCGTTTTTAGCACTTTTTCTGTTAATCAATTCCGGTCTGTGTTTTAGTTGATCTAAATAGGTTTTCACGATAGAGGGTGGAATCAAATTTGGCCATGGGGTAGCGTTTCATCTTGTCGCGCCGGGCACCTCATAGCCCAATGCCGAAATTTCTATGTCGCAAAAACCTGTTTCTACGTTTGGAAGAAAAAATATTTTTGATGCGGCAACACTATTCCCAGCAGAGGTTTTCACTTTTATGAAAGCTATTAATAAACTCGGCACCGATAAAGTTGGTAAATATGGGCCAGGCGATCTTCGCAAGAGATGCCTAAGCAGAACAGTCTTAACCGCATTAGAGCTCCCGGTTACTGGAATACAGAGGGTAACTGTAGGGCGGACGAACTTGAAAGGACGTTCTGGCAAATGAAAGATGGATAGATGTCTGATTTCTTGGCTAACTTGGCTTAGGCGCCAGAGAAGGTTCGTTAAGGAGATAAAATCGGTGCAGCACCTACCTGCATACCAAAACAGGTTTTTGAAAAAAAAATCTAAGTAAAAAATGTTAAAGCATTAATTTAAAGATATTTTTTTACATTAATACAATATTATTAAGAAAGCAATTTAAGTTGAAAATGATTTTTTTATTTGCATTTAATATGAAAACTGACGGAAGGGGAAACAAAAATTTTTCACTTAAATTTTTGCAAAAACCGGCAGTAAGAAATAATTTTCTGCAAATGAAATTTAATTAAATCAATCAGTTTGTAAAAGTTTACCACTTGTTTAGTTGAAAAGAAATTTTATATGCAACTTCATTTATAAAACCGAAAAAACCACAATTTATCTGCTGATAATATTTTGCATAATTATGTGCGCAATCAGGGCAAAAAGCGTGTTTTTAAAATCAAAATTAAAATCAACAAGAATTAATAATAATATGTTAAGTACATATCGTCGTTTAAAGTACAAAACCGCGTATCGCCATTCTGCAAAACCGCGTAACTGACATTTGCTGCCGAAAAACTGGATTTACTCACACACGCTCTAGGCTCAATCCTAATCCATTCGTCCTGAAATATACTAGCCAGAAATTCGATTGCTTAATAAAAAAGAGAACCATTTTGAAAAATGAGTGTTTTTACTCTCTAGAAAATAATTTATGCAACCTCACAAACGCGGTTTTGCATTTTGTTTATACGCGGTTTTGTACTTTAAACGACGGAATGTATCTACCTATAAAACCGCATTCATTAATATACTAAGCTTTTTTCACTCACTTAAGTAAATACAATGGTTGTTATAAAAAAAACATATTTAATAAAGTTTGCTATTACAATTATTTTGCTCATTAANTATCTACCTATAAAACCGCATTCATTAATATACTAAGCTTTTTTCACTCACTTAAGTAAATACAATGGTTGTTATAAAAAAACATATTTAATAAAGTTTGCTATTACAATTATTTTGCTCATTAATTTACATGTAATACAAATTCACAAACAAATGCGTATTCACTTACTTACATAAGTTTTTAGGACTACATATGAATATACGAGTATGATGCATGAGTTTTAATAGGGAATAGTATATGTTAATATTTATTGCGTAAAACGCCATTGATGACCTTTGATATTATTTAAAATTTACAACTTTCTGCTGGAAAAATACATACAACTATTTATATTACTAATTTTTTACTAATTAATAATTTCTTCTTAATAACAATAATTACATAGATGGCGCTTATGACTCGATAGCTTGAGATCGAGTTCCACCTCAGGTTTTCTGAACCCTATTCAGAATTTCCTCGGCTATGATTTTTTCACAAAAAAGCGATATATGCATGTACATATGTAGGTATGTATGTATCTACATTAGACTGCATCACTCCCCATACAAAAAAAAATCGGTACTATTTTTCCATTGGAATTATAAAATCTGTTATATTTTAAGACGTCCACCAAAATATTTCGAAAAAATGAAACGATTTAAGTGAGCTTGACCAATTTCAAAATAACTCCAAAAATGGAGTTTTTTATGCATAAAAATAGTTTATTAAATTTTTTTTTTTTGAAAAAATCCCCTCAAATGACAAAACGGTTTAAGCTCAAAAAATTTGCATAAAAATATTTAAAAAAAAAAATAAAAAAAAATTTGAACGGAATTGTATTGATGAGATTTTTGATGCTGTTTTTTAACTTTTTCCAAGATTGGTATAAGAAAAACTAGAATAACTTAGCCTAAACTCTTCTGATTTAGACTTAAGAGGTGTCGGTGGAGAGGTATTTTCTCACCCTTTTTATTTCTTTGCTAATAAACTCATTCAAAGGATGAAAGAGAAAGGTAGGATGAACGAACGTCATTCAAAGTTGAATTAAGAAGTCTTGGTATTTGAAAAAAAAAAATTTGGACACAAATGATTTTTTTTTACAGAAATAAAAACAGTGTGAAAATACCTTTCTACTGAGATCCCGCAAGTCTAAATCAGAATAGATTTGGTCCAGTTATTCAAGTTTTTCGTATATCAATCTTTGAAAAAAGTAAAAAAAACAGCATCAAAAACCTCATTCTTACGATTCCGTTGAAAAGATTTTTAAATATTTGTATATATATCTGAGGGGACTTTTTTCAAAAAGTTTTTACGAAACTATTTTTATTCATAAAAAACTCCAGTTTTGGAGGTATTTTCAAATCGGTCCAGCTCACTTAAATCTTAATATTTTTCCCAAATATTTTGGTGAACGTCTTAAAATATAATACATTTTGTGATCCCGGCGGAAAAACCGCAACTTTTTTTGGTGATGCAGTCTAATGCACATATATATACCACGTAGAAAATATAGCTTTCCGCTATTCAAAAATAATAAGGCGTATTCTTGTTTTTGTGTGGTAAATGATAGGAAAATTGCATGATTTTCGATTCGTACGAAAACAAGAATAAGCCCCAATAATTTGTTGAAGATTTAAAAGTCAATTTTGGAAGAATTTTTCAAAGCTTTTTTCCCGTATCACATGCAGCCTTTTGTATTAACGTTTAACAAAAATAATATAAAATTAAAATTAAACCATTTAAAATTACTTTTTTTTGTTTTTCGGTTTATCAGCGTGCAGATTTCTGCTAGCTAAACAATTTTTTTTAATGTCTAAAAATTAGAACCAAAAATTATTAATTTTTTAATAANATAACAAAAATAATATAAAATTAAAATTAAACCATTTAAAATTACTTTTTTTTGTTTTTCGGTTTATCAGCGTGCAGATTTCTGCTAGCCAAGCAATTTTTTTAATGTCTAAAAATTAGAACCAAAAATTATTAATTTTTTAATAATAATAAGTTTATAATATAATTTAATAAGTTTTGTTTGTCAAATATACATTTCTTTCAATCTTGCTATTCACCGAAAAGAAAAGAAATATAAAATTCTGATGAAAAAGTAAAACAAACATTAGTTAAGAAAAAAAAAACTTAAAAATGTTTTTTTTTCGTGATTTAAGATGAGCAGTCGTGGTTGTGAAATAGTTTTGCTTTGAAAATTTCTAAATAATTTTATGAAGAAATGTTCTGCCTTATCCTGAGTTTCGCCTGAAAAAAACTCACCCAAAAATTTGTCATCCGCCCACAGTAAAACTATGGAAACCAAGAGTTAAAGTGAACCGGTTCGGCGAATATGAAACTCATGATAAGGCTGATTCTTTTTTCAAGCTCGGTTTTTATCAATCAGTTATAAAATTAAAGATTTTAGAAAAATGTTAATGATTTTTTTAAATGAAAATTAATTTAAGAACTAAAAAATTTTTAAAGCTACAAAATATTTTTTTTTTAATTTTTTTTATTTTTCTTTAACTCGCCAATCAGAATGCAATATTCGAGTTTGTCATGCAGTTTTGTTTCAGCAAGTTCTACAAAATTAAAAAAAAATGTAATATGTTTTTTGCAAAAAATTTTTTTTTTAATTTGTTTTTCATCTAATCGAAAGGATATAGAAAATTATCAAACACTTATATTACGAAAATGTAAAAAAAAATCCATATTTCTAAATAAATATCTAATGGAAATTCTCTTCACATAAAATAAACATAATTTTCTTCTATTTTTTATAAAAGTTTTTTCAAATTATATTTTCCCTTTCACTCCCTGATCGCGTAAATGTATTCTAATAGTATGCTATGCATTCTTTTTGACCAAAAACAGAGCAGAAAATAGTCGGCCTATACGTAGAGACGTAGGAGAGACGACTCCAGCGAAACATCAGCATTGTTTCCGTAAAGTGCACGGCACAATAACAGAGCTTAACGCCATAAATACCCAAATAACTCATGGCCTATACCACAATCGCCCCTGTGAGAGAACAGTCCTAGTAGCGTTGAACTTGTCAAAGGCGTGCGACACCGTCTGCCATTCCACGCTACTAGAAGACATTAAGGTTTCCTCCCTCTCCCACAGGGACTCAAACAGTGGTGGCGAATTATATGAGTGGTTGACAGTCATCAGTAATCTTCCGAGATCAAATCTCGAAACCTAGAAGAATCTCTCCCTTACTGTTTAACTTCTACATCTCGAAGCTCCCCTAGCCACCTGAGGGAGTTTCCCTGATCGGAGATGTAGAGTGCACTAGGCGGTTTGACTGAAAATACTAGGGCTGGGACAATCGGTATATCTCTTAATTTTTCTCAAAAGTACTGAATCTACTCTAACAGTTCATTAATATTATAATATGAGATTCGAAAATCCGAATATCCGGTTAATATCCGTTCATTTGACTATCTGGGTGTTTCGATTTTTAATCGGATATGCGAATATATACGATTATTCAAAAAATCGGGTTGGAAATTCTAATTCTAATATATATGTTGGTACATACATATGTACATACTTCTTGCCGAATCCATTTTTCTACGTTTGAGTTTCTACACTTCTTGCACTCTTCCAAGTTTTCCAGAGGCAATATCAGTTAGTTAATTAAAACTGTCTGTCTCAGTTGCCAAGTAATGGTTCAATGCGATCGCTAACAAAACTAGCGGCGACGTAATTAATTTATTGCTAAAGTGCAATGCCAAGCAGGCATACATGCTACGAACTATTATCGCAGCGTTTTATTTTCTGCTCAAGCAAAAGTACTTAACGTACATTGATTTTCTATTATGGCTAAAAGTTAAATACTTATTGCAAAAATAAATCAAAGTATAGCGTAAAAATCGAAACAGAATCCAATTAGCTGCATTTGAAAGTGGCTCATAAAATAGCGTGGCATGTCAGTGGCTGCTACTGATTTTGGCTGCAGATGCACGCACATCTAATACATAAATACGTATGTATGTATGTATATACTTGCACTTATGCGCCAACACTTGGCCGCCTATGCATGCCATGTCAGCTCAGTCTGCCAGCAATTAAATCCAGTTTGTCATGTGACGTAACGTGACACTGCCACTGCCACTGCGGCTATGGTTGCGGTTGCGATGCCTACTGCCGCTGTGGTTACCTATAAAGCTACCTACTACGCTTGCCGCTACTTTCATCAAATCAACTTAACCGCACATGTCAAATGCGTTAGTAACAGTGTTGCCATATTTATAGTTTAAATTTATTTTACACAAGCCATAGTTTTTTAAATTACCTTCCAAAACAAAATTTCAGATTTGAATGAATAAGTTACAATATTCTAATTTTCGTTATGGATGTTTCTGACAGGGTAGGAGTATGATGTAATGTGGAACGATTTTCCGTAGTCCCTTGTCAAATTTGGTTGCGAGCTGAACTTGAGGTATCGTTTAAAAAATTAACGAAGCAATTTTTATTTTATTAGCACGGTTTTTCTTTAAATTATTCAGCCTCATTGTGTAAGTCGTAAATTAGGCTACATTGTACGACTCGACAACATTGGCATTGTCTACTGTCGTGCTGAAATAAGTAAACGATGAAAATCGTCGAAAACTATGCACTGGTGCTAAGTTTATCCGTTTTAATACACTAGTCGAGGGAAAATTTTAGGAATGCCATGAAATTGTCGATACGATTCGACTCTCGAAAAACGACTTGCATTCGACACGACTATCGCAATGAGGCTGATTATTTTTTTATAAATATTAAAAAACATTTCTTCGTGTTTTAATGCAACCATATTTTGGTTGAAAATACAGTTTTTGGGGGAAAAAATTAACAAAACAAAATAAAAAATATCTGGCAACACACGTATGTACATTAGACCGTATCACTTTAAAAGTAAAAAAAAAACGTTCCTGAGTCTCAAGTATTTTCGCGAGGCCAATTCGAAAACAAAGGTTTTTTTGCCGATCATTTTTCAAAGACATCTAAATTTGGCAACATGATTCTTTTTTTTTAACTGGAATAATGGAAATACTTCCTTAGCAAAAAATTAATGTTTTCTTAGAGCTTAAATTTACTTACATTAGGGTGGCAGGAAGTGCTACAATGAACTTTGGAATAATAAAGATTTTCTCCTCGAGCCAAAACCATCGATGAATCATACATTAAGATCCGACTATAACTGCTGATGATATGACGAAAAATGTAAAAATGCGACGCCTATGTGCGGACAAAAAATAATCGAAATTACCTTCGAGACGAAATATGTATATGTAAATATAAGTATTCCGTTCTAGTTATAACAAAAGTTTAATTGTTTCGGCGAGCTTCAAATTACGGACATTAGTGTGGTACGTTAGTATAATAAGAACTGAGATCTGGTCGGTAAGTACTGGAAGGGAGTATTTGAGGTCAATGAATTTTGGAATAAAAAATTGTCTCCTGTAAATGCCGTCGATCTTTACCTTCGGCAAACAATTTTCCTTTTTTCGAAATATTCGTACAAAAATACTTTAGATTCGAAAATGTAGGCCGTTTTTTTTTCTGACACGACCTAATGTACATCTAGGGGCTGTGTTTTTCTTTGCATGTGTCTATACATGAATGTGCTTAATGCAATTTAATCCCACGAGCATAAAATCTTGTCATACAGCTCACATTGCAACTAACTAATTGCTTTTAGCAATATTTGGTATGACATAAAATATGTACATATTAGTTGTATCTATTTGATTTTCATATAACATTGCTATTTTCGCAACAAACTCAACGAGTTTTAGATAAATACGCTACTGTGCAAAAACAAACAAATACGAGTTCAATTTGATTTTGCGATTCTCATGTCTACGTACGCACTGCGCAACGTGATTTTCGATTAACATATGATAGCTAAATGCATATACATATGTACATATTTATGTGTACATATATATTTAGTACAAGTGTGTGCCAAAGCAATATTCATATCAATCATTCGATGCTAATTTTAGAACTTCTATTCCCTAACTCTGCCCAGTAAATAATTTCAGGATCCTGAGCTCGAGCTAAACAGCCTTCTTCCTCGCAGTTAAGAGGCCTTCCACTCTGCTTTCCTTTCTCTTTCCTTCTTCTTGTAGAATGGCTTTTGCGGCACCCAATTTAGTAGGCCTTTTGATGGAGTTCCTGTAAAGCTTCTGAGTGCCGCACTTGCGCTTCTTTCACTCAGATGCCAATATGTGTTTATTTTATTTATTAGCTTTCTTGTTTGATTCAGGTATTTTTGCGTACTGAATAATAATGACTACCGGCAGCATGTTTTGTTATTGTTTGTGATATGGCTAACAGCGCGGAAAAGCATTTGCTTAAGGCATTTGTCGTTTGCTTCGCATAGATTTTTTTGCTCATTATGCAGATTAGCGTTGCTATGGCAAATAGTTACATACATATATTTAAGAACCTGCTTTGCTCTTCTCATAATAATTTTGTTGCTGCATTTCTTTTATTGAGTACTTTCGATATGTAACTATGCACGTTAGGGCGGCCCGTATAAATATCAATATCATGGGCCACCCGTTTATTTTACTCTACGTAAAAAATAAAACCATCCACAAAAATTCCGAAATTAAGAAAAATAGGGGTCGATACCAGAGTTTGAAATTTTTGAAACTAATAAAAAAAAGGCAAACATTCGACAAAATTTTAACTTTGACCAGCTATAAGTCAGCGAATTTCGTCGAATTTGCGCGACAAAAAAAATCTTTTATTAAATTTTTTAAATTTTCGTACGTGTCTTCATTTTGTACGTAGAATAAAATAAAGGGGTGCCCCATACAGAATTTGTTATTTTTAAGGACCACCCTAATGCACATATGCAAAAACGTTATGTCTTAATATTTCACTGCTTAAGTACTGTATATGCGCCTAGTACAGAAGTAAATATGCTCATTAATATTCTAAGAAATAAATGACTTGAGAATCGTTTCCGTGTTCATAAGCAAAGTTCAAAAATAAATCAATTCAGGTACATATGTACGTGTTTGTGTGAACATGTTTGCATTTTTCCATCACTTATAAGGTATTAATATGAAAATATTTCAATTCCCACCGCGAAATTCTGATAAGATAACATTTTTTTTTTTATCTGAGAGCAGTCGAATAATTCAATGACTTTTTTAATAAAATATATTTTTACAGTAAAACATAAATTTCGTTAACTTAATAAATTTTGATAGCTTCATAAATTTCGATATCTGGAAACTCAATAGAATTCGATAAACCGGTGAATAGTGAAAACTCGCATAATTACATATATAATCCTAGAAATTTCGATAGCTCGATATACTTTGAAATTTTCAAAAACTAAGATTCGATAAACCGGCATATTTCGGTAAATCAATAATTATCGATAACTCGATAAATTTCTTTAGCTCCATAAATAATGATAATTCAGTAAAAATCGATAACTTTATAGATAACATTAACTTGACGAATTTCGATAATACAATAAATTTGTATAACTCGATATCTATAGGTAAATTTCGACAATTAAGTTTCTGTGTCTCTATAAATTTCGACAACTCAATAAACAGGGATCAATTTGAATAATTCGATAACTCAATAAAAATAGATAGCTCGATAAATTTCGAAAACTATAACTATAAACGATAAGTTTCGATAACTTAATAAATTAAATCTGTAGAATTTGCTGCAATTTCTCCATTGCGCCTGCATTGGGTTCCCCCAACTTTCGACGCCAATTACGGTTGGTTTTGCTTCAAATCAATGCCGATAACGTCCAACAGCTCGACGGTTGTTTTACTCTTTTACAAGGTAATCGATAGGAATGACATCGCATAATGATTTTCTTTGGTGCACGTTCACCAGCAGAAGTCCACTGTTTGAAGTGCTCTTACGTCTCTGATGTATTGTCATGGGTCTATGTAGGTTTCGCCCACGATTACGAAACCTTGCACGAGTCTAACTCATAACTTCATTAAATAATACATAAAACAAAAATTTACCAGGCCCGCAAAATTTTTTGTGAAAATTTGTGTCAAAAGCTGCTAATTTTTTTCATTACTGTATGTTATGTATGCATCAGCTTTTAATGATCGCTGTATGCTTCCGAAACGACCGTCAGGTGGTCTATGCGGCATTAATTTCCACTATAAACTTTTGTTAATTGCTAATAAATAGCTGTAAATCAAATACCGTTTGTTGGTTACTCATTTTAATTATCATTGCAATAAAAAATTGCTCAAAACGACTTTCACAAAAATTACCGAACACTTGTTGTAGACCACAGAACGGGTTGAAATTTAAGCAATAATATTTATTGTAGATATAATAAAGAGACAAATATATTGCAGTTGAATACACATACATACATACATATGCTGTTATGTGCTGCCGAGAGTGTTTAAACCAGCTCTTTTAGGTTGAAAAATTAAATAAATTTGCACATTTTAATCTAAATTATAGCAGTAAATGTTTTAATAACTACAACGATAATAAAAAAGACACATGATTGCGCTCACATACATACACGTATCTACACACGTACATGGGACTGGGCCGCGAAAAAACAGTTTTTTACTCCTCCAACTAGTTTGAAGAGAGGATTTGGTTTGGTAACTAATTTCTTCATAAAATGTTTATTTGTTACCCGAATTCAAAGTGTATTTATAATAATAATAATAGATTGGCGCTTACACATATGTTAGTATTTGGTCGAGCTTCTCCTCCGATTTGTGGCGTGCGCCTTGATGTTGTCACACAAAGCGGAGGGACCTATAGTTTAACGCCGACTCCGAACGGCGATTGTATTTTTATGAGAAGCTGTTTTTCATGGCAGAAATACACTCGGAGGTTTGCCATTGCCTGCCGAGGGACGACCGCTGTTAAAAAAAAAACCTTTTTCTATATTTTTTTTGCGATGTTGCTTTGACTAAGGCTTGAACCCAGGCGTTGCGGAGTGGAAGCACTGCTTACTACTACACCACAGCGCCCGACAATTGGAAATATAAGCATCTAAAAATCAAAATGATACGGATGAAATTTTGAAAAAAAAACAATTTTCAAAAGTAACTCAACAGCATAACATTTAAACACGAACGATTTTCTAGTAGCTAGATACCGCAAACGGGAATAATTTTCCATTTGACAACGACTTTTCTGCAAACGAGAGGCGAAGATGGCGTTTTTATACTCTGAACTACATTGAATATTTTAGTTTTTTTCGAAGAAAATTAATATTTGTTGGAATGACTCTGCAGCCTATTCTTTGTCTTCTTTGTTTCTTTTTTTCAATAGCAGAGCTAGCCTCCCCTACATTTACGTTTACGGAGTTTACCAACCGACGTAGTTGATTGGTTTGTATTCTCTCTACCGACAACGATACAGTCTCCGATTTGACATCGACTTTGGAAAAGCGATTGGATCATGAATAATTTCTATTATCGTGAGTTTCGCGCGAAAACAAACTCGCCAGATTTTTTTAATCCGCCCATAGTGAATCCGCATAAGCGATTTCGGCCGAAAATGAAATTTATGAAAAGGCTGATTAGGAATAATCACGGGGGAAAAATTCCCGAAGCAGTATTTGCCTTAGTATCGGGTACTTGGTATCGGACCGAAAAGTATCGAGTATTTATGTACTTGTATTTACTCGGTTCGTTTCATCCCTATTCTTATTTTATCATTATCTTATTTGTGTACTCCACTTCTCATTGCTAATAAACTTTCCATAGTTGCGGTTGTAAAGGGCTATGTAACAGTATAACAAATGACTATATTAATGAAAGCAAAAAAAAAGTTGTTAGTTGTAGATATTTTAGTCCATAAATCTTTGTACCCATAAACCCATTAAACAATTATAGGTTAAGATATGAATTTAATAAACTTAATTACTTTTTAATTAAATTTGATTTATTGCTGCCATAGCGGAAATTTTTAGCGCTTGTTGCCACATGAAAATTGCTTAATTAATTGGAAATATGAGTGTTTTTAATAGCTCTTTAATGCAAAAATAGAATTGAGCAAATGATAGAAACAGCCAATAAAAAAAGTAATGAAACTTTAATGTCAATGCCTACTCGTAACAATTTTCATTAGATTCGATTTTGCAATTTCTGGCTGGTAATTTGTTATATTAAGTACAGTTCATACAGAATCGCAAGTCGCAAAGGAGATTTGTATACAAACTAGCGAGATTTTCTTCCAAAATATGTATATATATACTATAATTTATTGCTGTTCTAATTATAAAACCTCGTCTGCACGGTAGACTTTGTTATGGTAATGTGAACGATACCTGAAAAAGTCAGTTAGAGAGGAGACCAGGGTATCATGCTGTCCAAACAAATATTTTAATCAAGATAAGAAAATGTGCTATCTCTCGATTTGACAGAAAATATTTTGAGTTAATTAAAAAAGACAACAATTACCGCTACGCTGCAACTAGCATTGACACACAAATGGACAAATATAGAAAAATTAAAGAAAAGCAGAGTCATCACGCCTGTTCCTTTTATGAGGTTTTTTTTTATTAAATTTTTTTTGTACCGGATACCAATTTCAAAAAATCCGGTATTTTATTACCGATTACCAATATTGAAGGAAAGCGGAGTGATTGCGCCTGTTTCTATTATTACGGTTACTTAAAAAATTAAATCGTTTTTTTTTTGGTACCGGACACAAATTTCAAGGAACCCCGTGTTTTTATTACCGATTACCAATTTTGATAAAAGCAGAGTAATCACACGCGCGGTTTTGTTTATTACAGTTATCTAAAAAATAAATCGTTTTTTTTTACCGGATACCATTTCCGAAAAATCCGGATTTTTATTACCGATTACCAATTTGGAAAAAAGCGGAGCGATCACACCCGTTTGCTTTATTATGGTTATTTCAAAAATGAGATCGCTTTTTTGTACCGGTTGCTTATCTCGAAAAACTCGGGTTTTTTATAACCGATTTTCAGCACAACGATTTCTATTATTAAGGTTATTTAAAAAATTTAAATTCTTTTTTTTTGTACCGGGTACCAATTTCGAAAAGCCTGCGTTTTTATAGCCAATTTAGAGAAAAGCGGAGTGATCACACCCTCTTCTTTTATTATGGTTATTTCAAAAATTAAATCGTTTTTTTTGTACCGGTTACAAATTCGAAAACTCTGATTTTACCAATTTCGTACAAATCGGAGTGTGTGTAATTTTTTTCACGTTAAGTGCTAGATATATTCTCTGCACTAGAAACCATTACGCGATATTTTCATTTAAAATGTTTATTGATAAATTACATATTTATCGATATATATCTATTATTCATTTCATTCATCATTTATTGCCCAGTCGCCATAAGCAGCTATGAAGACAGCTTGAGAAGTCAGTGACATTTTGAATATCCCTCGTATTAATTAATATCCCTCATAGTAAATTTAAATGCAACACTGTTGCCGTTAACTGCTATTGCGTCAAAAAAAGCCACCAGCGTTTCAAATGTTGTCAGCGGCCTTCAAAAATTGTCTAACTTATTCCGTAGTAGATAATCCCCATAAACTAATTGATGAGCCGTAAAACAATCATTAACTACGGTGGAAATTAATAATTTGCTCAGTATCTGCAAGTGTATTAAGAGGGCCAAGACACGTGATATTTGGCAAGCGTAAATTGAAGCTGACCAGCCAAGGCAGCCTGGCACATCATTAGTATTATTACATGGCATTAATGCATGACCACCATGCTGCAGGTAAACCTACAAATTATAATATTTTACGCAACAAACAAAAAAATAAATAAAATCTAAAGGCACATTAGATTTTAGTGGAAAAATTTAAAATGCTAGAAAAAAATAATAGCAAGTAAAAAAATCATTATTAAAAACTACTATGTTTATACATACTTAGGCGCAGCTAAGGCAAGAAGAATAAACAAAACTCAAGTCTAGGGCCAGGGTCACGTTGTTGCGCAATTAAAAATAATTATAGTTTCATAGGTATGCATTTAGCATCTTTGTTTCGCACTTTTTTGTATTTTTAATCACTTAATTTTTTTATCTTTTATTTTTCTGATTTTCTTTGAGCTATGTAAATCTCAAATCGCTGCTTATTCGCTTGCCCTTCGCCAATTTGCTCAATTCGTTTGTGAGCAATTAACTTACCATTTCGAATTTTCGCAAAAGTTTGCTAATTGCAGAAGCATACAATTTAAGAGATAACAAATATTTAGCATATAATTTTTTGCGCGATTATAAATAGGGCAATTTACATTTGAAATAGGTAAGTGCCATGAATTTGCCAAAGGATCTCTAGTTCAAATCAGCAGTGCATTTCTAAGTAAATACTGTATGCTCCATCAATTCAGCTAACCATTTTTTTATGTACTTTAAGAACTTTGCACTTTTTTCATTGTTTAAAAGTTTATACGGAGAGTGTTAATATTTCTCTTTTTTTTGCTCTTTTTAGGTGCTACTTTTTTGCTTCGCTGTTTAATTGACGCAGTCTAAGTTCGAGGTAAGTTCTGTTGTTTTTGGTTCAATACATAGGTACGAGGTGTGTTCAAAAAATAAGCCGACTAAAAATTGTTACCAAAAATAAATATCTAGTTATTCATCAATTTAAAGTGATCTCATTTTGATATGTATGTACATATAAAGCACTTCTCCCAACGTTTTCCAATCCTCCAGGCACTTCTGATAAGCACTTTTTTGTATAGCCTTGCGCTCTGCCAGCGCTGCACTCTTTTTCTGCTCAATTGTTGCAGATATTCGTCCTTTCATGAGTCATTTCAGCTTTTAGGAACAGGAAAAAATCAGAAGGGGCAAAATCTGGTGCATATGGTAGTAGGGTTGCCAGACTTAAAATGCCGAAAGGGGTACAGATAAGAACAACTTGGGGGACTTGGGGTACAACTGAGTAAGGAAAAGGGGTATTTTTCGGGTGAAAAAAAAACCAAATGGTTTCAACAAAAAATTGGTTTATTCGTTTAACAAAACAAAGTTACACTGGCGAACAAAACTGAGTGCATGGTACATATTTACATATGCAGGAAGTTTCTGCTAAGAAATACTTCATCCTTAGCAATGTACACATACATAAATATATATATATTTAGGTATATCATCTAAAAATACAACTTACAAACTAATAAAAGATAATTGAAATCGATCCGTAAAATCGAGCGCTGCGCCATCTCCGAGCGTAAAAGGTACACAACAGACAAAAAATAGAAAAATACCAAAATACACCCTTAGGCATTTCTTTACCGCTTTACGGTATTCTGTTTATACATATGTATGCATGTGCGTTGGTACTTAGTAGTTATGTGGGCTGATTTTGTCACCAGATGAATGGCACAAACAAAACGATTGTGGAAATTGTATGTGTTGCTATTTTTAGTCGAGAGTAAATAAACGCACACAAGAGTAAATGTACACAACCGTAGCTTAAATCGAGCAATAACAAAAACTATGCATAATGGGTGGGTAAGAAACACTACGGCAATGTAGACGCTTACGAATGTTTACAGCTATAATGGCTATGTGGTTAAAAATAGTAGCTGCTAACCGACGACCGCCTATTTATGTACGTACATACATACGAGTACTTGCAGTCGCAACTGCACCTGAAGAAAATTAGAAAATTAGCAGATACATTTTCTTACTTCCATCATTAACATTAATTTTCTTGTATTTTCTTAGCTCCACTTTCATATAAATCGGTCACACTTCCGTTCACAACTCAACTACTCTGGAATTTGCTTTTATTTTTAGTTGCTCATACGACACGTGCACCTCTAATATGTGAACCCCGCCGCTCGGCTGTGCCCAACATATCTGCACTCCAACATATAAAATAAATATTAGCTACATATCAAATTTAGTGTTTTTTTGTTGTTGTTTTGGTATTAGATCGTTCATAGCTGTCATTCATTCATTGCTTGGCGACAAGTCGCACGTATGTCAATAACACATGTCAGCCGCACGTTGCCTATTTGCGCTTTTATTTTTCCGAGCATTGCGAAGAAGAGCTCACAGTCATACTGTTTGTATTTAAGTATTGTTTGCTGCTTAGGAGGAAGTCTATCTCATACAGACTGCGCTTTAGTATGAATGTGCAATTTTTAAGTTTAAATTTTAACCCGCAGATGATTGATGAATATATTTTAATAACTAGATGGGATTAATCAGAATTTTATTAAATTTCACGTATAAGGAATGATAAATCATTTAAATATCTTCATTAAAGTGTCAATTTTATTTAAATGGTTGACATCAGCTACTCGAATGCAGTTAGAAACATTCATGCTTACATATATGTTTGAAATACTGATATTTCCCAAAAATTTCACGGTATATTAGCTTAAGCTGAAACCAGTAAGCCAATCAAATGAGATTTACTTTTTTAATTCCCACTAAAAATAAGTTCTATGAAAAGTGCATAGAATGCCGTATGGTGCCCGAAAATTAAAAAAAAAATCGAGAAATAAGATGCGAAAAATCCAGAATAGTCCCGTAAAAACTCCAAATTTTCTCGAAAAAATCCCGAAATGTTGTTAATAAACTCCGAATAGTAGCAACACTATCCAAAATCCAAAAAAATCCAAAATATCCCGAAAAAATCCATATACACGTTGAAAAATTCCGAATAGTAGCAAAACTATCCAAAATCCAAAATATCCCGAAAAAATCGATATACACGGAACAATTTCGAAAGAGTTAAAAAATAACGTAAAAAACGCACAAGATCTCAAAAATATTAAGCGAAAATTCCTAATAAAATCTGAAGAATCAAAAAAAAAAATTGTAAAAATGTTAATAATCCCGAAAATTCCAGATAAATAAAGCAACAAAAAATCTGGAAAAAATGTCTAAAATTTGCATAAAATCTCGAAAATGCCGCTGTAAAGTGTCATTGCTTACCAGCAACAATGTAGTAGAGTTTGAACGAAATCGCAGATCCCTAACTAGGAAACATAAATTCACCTGTGCATTAGCAAATGCGGTTCATATACATACATACGCCCCCCCTGTTGGATATATTTACTAGGTATATGTAGTACATACACATGTACATATGTATGTTTACTTGTGACTATCTGATATATGCATCTACTTTGTCGAATGTGTAAATACATACGCGCTTATAGCTGATATCGCAATTTACGCTTGAATGATATTATGGTTGACATTTACGCGCTTTGTTCGGAGTTTGTGCGTTGCCCACCCGCGTGCTAGAAAAAGCTTGCGGTGGCGGCATTTCCAATGACACTGACTGACTGACTGGGGCAACGCTGCAGGTAGATTAACCACAATTTCCGGGCGCAAGTGATGCATGAGTAAGTACGCAACAGCACACTCCAACACACAGTACTTTTATTCGTATATGTATATCTACACCCACTTTGCAGAGCTAACAAAGTTAGCAGAAGAATTCTTTTATAGACGTTTTGTGTGGCTGGAGCAACAAAAAAAAAAAAAGAAATTGTCGAACGCAATTAATGCCAGCGGATATGCGTTATTTGATACAATGACTATACTATGAACTTTTACAGCGTTATTTTTTTTTGTGCTTTAACTAGAGTGCAAGCTTGCCATTCAGCGCGTGCCATTACAATTCCATTTTAATCGTTGTATTATCATTTTTCGCATAGCTGAAGCGCAGTGAGAGTATGTGTATATCGAATATTGTTTAAGTGCACTGATTTGACGGCAAATTTATAGAGTTTAAATTTCCTGCATTGTGTGTTAAAAATAGCAGCATTTTTTATTTGCTTTAGACTCTACGTAATTTCAATAGAGTGTGGTATATTTAGTGGCATATTTTTATACCCGAGCGCACTTGTGCATAAGGGTATATTAATTTTGTTCACATAACGGTTGTTTGTAACAGCCAAAACGAATCGAGATAGATATAGACAAATGTATACATATATGCTCAGAATGAATAGAGAAATCGATTAAGCCATGTCTGTCTGTCCGTCCGTCTGTCCGTCCGTCCGTCTGTCCGTCCGCCCGTGTACACGATAACTCGAGCAAAACTTGAGATATCTCAACGAAATTTGGTATGTAGGTTTCTGTTAGTCCAAGGTAGGTTGGTATTGAAAATGGGCGAAAATTTAAAATGGACAGATAACCACGCCCACATCCCATATAACGGTAATTTTCCAGAAATACGAAAATGCGATATTTTAGTAACTACTGAAGATATTCACTCAAAATTAATACTTGTAATAACTTTCAGACAAAAATAAAGAATATTATAAATTTTTGGAAAATGGGCGTAGCCACGCCCACTTATGGTTATATGTGTATATCTTGGTAACCGCTGCACC